ACGGAAGATGATAGCTATGTAGGAGGGAAGAACGTTTGTGTCAGAGTGTGGGCTGCGTTGTAAAGAAAAGAGATGAGGAAGATACCTCTGAACTGATATGGAGTGATTTTGAGGAGAATTTAAGTGAAAAAAGCAAGGTGAAAAAGATGCAAGACACTACCTGTTGTGTAAGCAAGAAAGGGAAATAACATTTCTGTGTATTTACTTAGTTCTACGCGAAGAAACACAGAAAAGAAATCAGAAGCTAATGAAAGTGGTTACCTGTGGGATTGGCGAAGTGGGTGAAGGGATAGGAGTGACACTTCTGAATATACTGTTAAAATTTTATTTTGAATTTTGGACTGTGTAAATATTTAAGATATTTAAAAATTAAAATTAAATAAATAAGCTAACCCTAAAATTGAAAATAAATATAAAAAGAAAATGCATTTCAAATTGATAGCATAAAAAAGAATTAGCCCAAAATAACTTTTGAACACAGTACTCTCACTGTATACCTTTAGTGGGATATAGTCTAAGGACAAAAAAAAAAAACTGCAAGGAAACTTTGAACTTCATAGGTTTATTGTTGCTGCTGATACTGGTGTAGCAACTCTAGAAACTATCTTGTATGTGTTATAGAATGGAGCAAATGAGTAAATATATTGATATTGTTTGGGAATGAGGTTTTCCCTGTGAGAAAAAGAATATACAGTGTTGGATGGGGAAAGATGAGGAAAAACCGCATAGTGTTAGATTTGAATTGGATTTATCAGTGTTTGGGGAAAATTAGTCTGTTGTGGTAGACTGGAGAACAGAAACAAGTGGTTTTTGCAGGAATCCAGGCTTGAAGCAGTGGATCCATGGTTTGAAGTGATGGATGTCAGTGACAATGTAAAGGAAGGAGCAACCCTGGAGAAGCTTCTTCAGGGGGACTACAGGTCTCCATAACTGAGAAGTTGGCTTAGAAAATAGGTCTCAGTGGTGCTATTTAGAGAGCAGGAATTTGGGGAGGGGGCTTAATGTCTTTCTCCACTCTCCTCTACCTCTTCTATAAACCCCAGAGTTAAGCTGGGTGGAATCTGAGCTCTGCTGTCAAATTTTGATTGGCATGTCATCAGGAAAAGGGAGAGCCCACCATTAAATCTTTTTTTTTCTGCCAGCTGCCACGTCATGCCAGACTACCTCCCTCACACACACTTCCTCTCTACTTTCCCACCTCCCTTTTCTCATATTTTAACCTTCCAAGGTTCTTCCAAATCTCTGCTCAGACTTGACACCCAGTTGACCAGCAGCCTGTATGCTCTAGGCATTCCTCCCTCTTCCAATCAGTGTTAGTTTTCCTCCTTTAAGCCCTCAAAAAATTTTGCATCTGTTGCAGGTATACTTGTGTTGCGACCTCCTTGTCCCCCACCGTACCTCTCCTAGCCTGTGACTTTTTCTAAAGGAGCTTTTGGTGGTGCCATAGCGATCCTGGTCGATTCCCCTAACAGCCAGGCAGGTGGGCTTTGGCCTTATCTGCCTTTGACGACCTGGAACAGCTCCAGCCCCAGGTCAAATGTGAAAAGTTACTGGATTTAAAATGCATCTTCTGGGTTTTAATATGGGCGTAGGGAGCCAAGTTCTTACCCTGGCTGGTCGAGCACAGCTAGACAAGGAGGCCCGAACTGTCCTGAGGTAAAATAGGTTTTCTCCTGAGGGGGTGAGGACGAGTTCAGAACCAGCCCGGGTGAGCCTGTGGTGGGGTGTTGTGTATCTAACTACAGACAGCAGATGAACCAGTTGGAATAAAAGACCTTTAAAGGTCCATTCTGAGAATCCCTCTCTTGACTGGGGGGCTACCACCACTCCGTGTTGTATTAAAGTTCTGTGTGCTCACCCCACCCACTCTGCAAGTGACTGTCTTATTCATTTGTGTGTCCTCAGTGCTTGGCAGAGTGTCTAGAGTAGCGCTGTCCAGCAGAACTCTCTGAAGTGACAGAAATGCTCTATTCTTCACTGGCCAACGCCATAGCCACTACATATGACTCTTAAACACTTGAAGGCTGGCTAGCGTGACCGAGAAACGGAATTTTTAATTGAATTGAAAACGTAAATGTAAATAGCTACATGTGGCTAGTGGCTGTCATATTGGACAGCACAGGTCTAGATTCTGGAACGTAATAGGCCCTTATTAAATGATAAGCAAGCTGAATCTTCACCCTGGATGGGAGGTGGGGGTGGGCAGGGAATGATGGAATAGGATAATTTGAAGAAAGCCAAAAGTTGCAGCTTCTGGAAGTTTACCTTCTTCTCTGGCTTGTAGGTACAGCAGTGGGAAAGGGAGGAGGAGGAACATCTCGGAGGAAGAAACAGTATAGGCAGAGGCAGAAGCCAGAAACCATAGCAAGTGAAGGGAGAGAGAAAGAGCAGGGACCCAGAATAGGACTGAGCAGCAACTGTGTTGATCACTGGGGACACTGATCAACGAGACAGTCCCAGTTTTCACGGAGCTGACAACCTTATCTGTATACCCTTACAGACAAGCAGTTATGATATTCATGCTGCAGTAAGGACAGGTACTGGGAGCTGGGGAAGAAGACATCAGAGGGGCACTTAATTGGGCATCCGGCAGTACTTGCTTTAAGATGCTGTGGCTAATGGCTTAGTCTGAAGAGGGATGGCCTTTCTCCTGAGTACAGTGGGTAGGCTCTGAAAGATTTTAAGCGGTGAAATGAGGTGGCCAAATTCGCATTTTAGCACGATCGCTGCTGCATTGTGGCCAGTGCCCACCCCTGGGCCCTTCTTAGCTTTATTAGAGTTTTTCTTTTGAACCAGCCGTCTCCAGTGTCTTGTTCAGTTTATGTCTTGTTCTGTTTTTCTTTCTCTTTCTTCCTCCTCTACTGCATCCCTCTCTCCTGGGTCCCACGCTGTCTTCTTCCTTGATGTCCTTCTCTCTATGATCCAAAGATCAGCCAATAAAAAGCAGTCTCACCTGTCCAGGTAAGAGGGGTGCCAGGGTGAGGGGCAAAGTAGACCCCCCCTTTTAAATGTGAAGTTCTTAATTTGTTTCTTTAAATAGATCGCACCTTCACATGGTTCCAAATTTAAAAAGTACAAAAGCGAATATAATGAAAAATCTCCAACCTATTCATGTTGCCAGTTTCCCCAGTTTCCCACCTTGGAGACAACCCGTGTTATATGTTTCTTTTGTACCTTTCCAGAGATATTTTAGATGCTTTATATAAACAAACAAATATATATATTCCTTCCTCCTGTCTTTTACTCACTTTTTTTACTCTCCACCTAATTCTGTATATTTTTTTCACTTAACCATGTATCGTGGAGATCATTCCTTATCAGTATATGAAGAGCTTCCTCATTCTTTTATATGGCTGAATACTGTGTCCTTACATTGATATGCAGTAATCTCCCCTTATCTGGGGGGGATATGTTCCAAAATGGTGAAATAGTACCGAACCCTATATATACTATGTTTTGACCTGTGTATACATACCTATGATAAAATTTAATTTATAAATTCGACACAGTAAGAGATTAACAACAATAATACTAAAATAGAGCAATTATAACAATATACTGTAATAAAAGTTATCTGAATGTGGCTCCAGGTGGAATGGAGTGGGAGGGTGTGAGATTTTATCACGCTTCTCATTTAACATTTTCAGACCATGGTTGATTACGGGTAACCAAAACTGCGGAAACCGAAACTGCAGATAAGGGAGGCTCCTGTACCATAATTTATTTAACCAGCCATCCACTGTGGACATTTAGATTGTTTCCAATATTTTGCCTTTACAAATGGTGCTTGCATGAATAACTGGAGCCCTGGTGACATAGTGGTTAAGAGCTCCACTGCTAACCAAAAGTTCGGCAGTTCAAATCCACCAGGCGCTCCTTGGAAACCCTATGGGGCCAGTTCAGCTCTGTCCTACAGGGTCGCTATGCGTCAGAACCGACTTGATGGCACCTAACAACAGCATGAATAACCTCTACACAGTCATTTGATACCATGAATAGGAGACCCCTTTCTGAGGGGCAGCAACTACTGATTAGGTAACTGTCAACTTGTACGCGTTTCCAAAAAGGAGGGGCCCAGCGGTGATTTGAGCTTCTTCTATTCCTGTTGGAATCCTAGTGAAAGAGGAGATCGGGCAAATCTGGATCAGTAGTCTGTGGCACGCTGAGGTTTTAGGGTCTTTTAGTAGTATCTGAGCAGGGTGCCTGAGGCTGGCTGTGGGATGAGACTGAATGCAGGCTCGGAATACTACCACCACGCAAACCAGATTCCGACCCTTCCGTGGTACCCAAAAGATAAATGGAATTTTCAGAGGCTTGGGGCCTCTCCTTTCTTGAAAAGCGTAAATTTGCCAGATACCCCACAGGTTAGTACCAAATGCCCACTTACCCTCCTGGAGACCACGTTTTTGGAGAGGTGGAGCTTTGAGGGACAAAGAGATGAAATACAGTGGGGGCGATTGTCTCTGCTACAGCCACTGCCGTCCTCTGCTCTGTTAACGCAGGCCTCTGTACGTTTCTGACCCACTGCGTCCTTGCCCTCCAGTCTCCCGTTCCTCTGCAAGTGATCACCTCAATCTAACTAGCTGTTTATTTGTTTGTTTTTTCATGTCTTTTTTTTTTGCATTCATTTTCCCTGCTGCTCCGTTCTGTTTCATCGCCCCATTGCAGCCCGGTAAGACCCAGCAAGCGTGTATAGGTGTTCACACCCCTTCTTGCTGTTGTCTTTTTGTCTCCTGACTCCAGGAAGGGCTATTTCCCTTCATGGCTTGCTGGGTAATAAAGAGATCATGCTTGTCCTGCCAGCCCAGGATTCCAGGTGGTGGTGTTACCACTGGTGTAGACATGGCTAATTTCCCACCAGGTCGAGTGGGTTACGGTGTGGGAGGGTTGGTCTCTCTCTACCCAAGGCTTAGGGCCCCTTTTGACAGGGCGTCCTTCTACTACAAGGCTGTTCCCTCCACACCCAGCTCATCGATGTGCTTTTCTTACTCCTTCTCTAGGTTAGCTAGCCTGTCTTCTCTGGGAGATTCAGCATCTGAGCGCAAGTCCCCTTCCCACCACCGCCAACCCTCTGACGCCTCTGAGACCACAGGTAACCTTCTTCTTGGAGCTTTAGACACAGAGTGTGAAACAGCTTAGCCTTTATGTTGACCACATACTGTGTAAAGCATTGTGTTACATGCTTCATATAAATTGCCCCACTTACTCCTTATATCAGCTGTAGAAACTAGGTTTTATTATCCTTATTTTATATATGAGGAAGCTGAGGCACAGAGGGCTTAAACCTGAAACTGGTTCTGTCTGAACTCTAAAAGCTGTCTTTCGCCATTACAGGACCAGTCTCACACACCATCACACATGTACAGGGTCTGGTACCCTCCCACGGCGATGGAGGCACTCAATAGTCAGACTGTTTCTTTTTTGAAGTTCTGTGTACGTGTGTATACGTGGAAAAGATGTCATTTAGCCTTCTTGGATCTGGCAAAGGGCCAACCCTGTGTCACCAAGTGAGCTATCTAGATCTGCAAAAAAGGTTACCTGCTGCAGTCACTGGGTATAATTTGACATAAAATGTCCCATCTTACTTGAGCTTCAATCCCAGGGGCTGCTTATCTCTAATATGAGTTCTCAGGAGAGTAGCCTGGACTTGACCCCACCCCTCCGTTGCCTGGCTTCACCCAGACAAACCAAAAAAGACAGACTTGTCCAAGAGAGTCATTTCAGGGCCTCAGAGAAGGATACTTCTCGCATGGGATACAAAATAGGTTAAAGGTGTTTGTGAATCACTGAGGGAGGGAAGTCATTATGGTAGTATGTTTGGGCAGGATAAATCTGGGGAGTTTGGTTCGTTTGGAACAGCTTTCTGGAGGCAGAAACACACTGGGCCTTCCCGGGTGATCTTGGCTTTTACGCACTAACCCCTGGTGACGGTGCCTACCTAACCCGCCCTCCCGTTTCTCACCCCCAGGCCTTGTTCAGCGTTGCGTCATCATCCAAAAGGACCAACATGGCTTTGGCTTCACGGTCAGCGGGGATCGCATTGTTCTGGTGCAGTCGGTGCGGCCTGGTGAGTGCTGTGCCCCTCCTGCCTGGGGTGGACCGTTTTTACAAAGCAGCCATGTATTTGACGGCTGCATGACTTGGGGAACTTGCACGGGCGTCTCTGGAGGCCTGGGGAGCCCTGGTGGGCATGAGTAAATTCCTCTAGAACTGGTTTCCCAGGGGCCTCTGTGGAAGTCTACACAATGCTAAGCCACTAGGCAGAGTTCCCAGGCTCACACTTGATGCTTGTTTCACCTGTTGGCAAATGCAAGAACAGCAGAATAGTGCTCAGATTATCAGGCAATGCCTGATTGCTCCCCAGGGGAGCCCCTACCAGGCCAGAAGATGCCGTGGAGGAATCAAAGGCACCTTTCTGCATACTCACCTTCCTGTTACCTTGCTAAGTGCACAGATAGTCACTATTCTGCGGAGGTTTAGAGTTTGAGACAGGCACACTGTTCCAGATGGTTATAGGACACAGTTGCAGATACAATTAACTTTAAATAATAAAGTAGCAAAAGATAAATGTATGGTAGACAGTAGGAGGGAGGGAATGGTGTCTGGAAATTTCTGTTTGGGTAGTTCGTGGTTCAGGGCACAGTCATTTCTCTTCTGATCATTTTGGGAAGCCTTCTTAGAAGAAATAGTATTTCAGGAGTCGTTTGAAAGATGGAAAGAAAAAACAGATTGGCAGGATAGGAATCTGGCAGGAAGGAAATGAAAAGTGGGACGGCGTTGTACGCAAATCAGTCAAGTCAGAGACTATATGTAGAAGAGCTTTGAGAAGTTCAAGCTGGGTGGTAGAACCATTGTTGTTAAGTGGCCCAGGCTGAAGAAGACAGGAAGGAGTTGGGGGGCATGTGGGGGGGGGGTGTCTAGGATGTGAAGCAAGTGTCCCTGAGAGGAGCGAACCTCAGTGTAGCGAATTAGACTGGGCCTGGTGACGTTGGAGCATCATAGGCTTGGCTTGTAGAACACAAGAAAGGGGAACAGAGAGCAGGTTAGCCCTTCACACTTAGTGAAGAGAAAATATAATTTAGACAGTTTAGGAGGAAAATTTGGGATACGTTTATGGGACAGGTGAAAAGAGAATTTCAAATTTATGACCAGAATGAGGTATATGGACCATAAAAACTTCTAAATAATTATGGCTTCTTCTGTGTGGGAGTTAACCGTTTATCAGTGGGAAGATTGTTTTTCATATCCAGGGGTTGAGCTCTGAAGAGATACTTTTAGTCTTTGCTTCCCTTATTCTCTCAAGGTCCCTGGACTAGGGCTACTGGTACCACCGAGAATCTGTGTTTGCCCCTGCAGTCTGTCTGACAGAAAGGATGGGATCCCCTCCAGTGAAGTGTGGGTTCACTTGTCTTTCCCTTTTTTTTGCTCATTTTAGGCTTGAGTAGAGTCAGACCCAGAAAGGAAGAGAGCAGAAGGATGGTTTGCATTAAAATGGGAGTTTTGGAAAGTATGTGTGGGAGAAAGGAAGAGGATTCATCTCAGCTGGCATTGGAGTTGCAAGAGTAACAAAGCAGTTGTTACTGTGTTTTCCAGATAGGAGATTTCTCTAGTTCACTGTTTCTCACAGTGCGGTCTGTGTTCTACCTCCATCAGAATCACCTGGGCACTGGGGTGATTGTTTGAAATCCTTATTCCTGGGCCCAGCCCCAGAAGTCCTGGATCAATTTCTGGCAAGGGGGCCAAGGAATATGCTTTTTATCAAATTCCCCCCATGATACTTTGCTCACTGACGTTTGAGGATGTCTGCTGTAGTTCATTTACTCTGAAGAGTTGAATTTTTTTTTAGATCACTAAGTTATTAGAAGTCACCTCGTGTGTCTCATACATTCAGGCAAGATGACTCTTTCTTCCCTCTGCTAATGGGTAGTTCAGGAGCACCCCTTCCTTAGAGAGATGTCATGGAAGGTTTTCGCTTTCTAAACTTCTATCTATAACCACGTCTATCTTCATTGGAAACAGAAAGAAGAGCCATCAGTCTTTCTACTTTTCAGGAGCTCAGAGATGACAATGGTATCCAGCTCCTTCTCTTTATCTTCTCTGGGCGCCCATCAAGCTGGTTCCTTTAACTTAAGCTTTTGGACTCACAAACCCCTTTCACTATGAGATGATCTCAGAACACCCTAAGGCATTTTTTAAAATCTTTTTGTCATTTTCGTGTGGTATAATGATGGAGAATATTTAAAAAATTTTTTTAAATATTTAGTTCTGCATATTAAATACTATGGTATAAATTTTTTTCAAAATTTAATTTGTAACAATCTATACATGGACTGTTTTTACTTATTACCATTTGCCAAGTGGTGAGTACTATATAACTTTAATTTTTTTAGAAAAAGCATAGGTTTTTTGTTTTTGTTTTTTTTAAAACAAGTTTTACATTAATAATATTCTGTATAGTTTTGGAACTAAATGTAAATTAAAATTTAACCTAAAAACAGATCAGAAACCAGTTTGACGACCTGACATTTGGAATGCTTGCGTTTTAAGAAAGCGACTGGTTTATATGATGTTCACCTTCAGTTTCTAGATGACAATGTAAGAGAGATTTTCAAGCTATTTGCAAGTACTCTTCTATAATTAACACACTTTAGATGAGTCCCAATATTGAAAAGCCAATTTAGAATCTGTTTTCTCTTTTTAGACGAGAAACATCTAGACGTGCTTTGTGGGAGTTTTGTTTTGATCAGATGAATGCAACTCTCAGATTTGATGATCATCTTGGGGCAAATTTACAAAAATTAGAATTTTTGTGCTTCTCGTTAACTTGTTTTCAGCTTTAGTGTTTCTTACGCTTCCTGGGTATAAATCAAGCTAGGACTTTAAGTCATTTAAAAGTATGTAGTGTTGAAAACCACCCACAGCCTCCAGCTGAGTGATAACCTAAAAAAGTTGTGAGCACGTTCGTCTGAGCTCCTCACAATCTAAAGCTCTTAATCTAAAGGGAGAAAATGTATATAGTTTAAAAATTTTTAACAGAAATCAAAACAGTTACCATTATAATCTCTAATGATGTGAACTCCCAACATGTATTTATGTTTTCAGGACTTAATCACTGGTTGAAACCTTGTTTTAATCATTTTCTTCATATTCCTCTTAAAAATCATTATTATTTTAATAATTATATTTAATGCAGTAAACTCATTCTTCCCACTAGATAATAAGAAAAACTAATTTGACTTTGGAAGATATTCAGATACATTTAAATAAAGCATGCACATCTACATGCATATTCTTGGATCCTGGCCCTGCCTGTCTGCCTGTCTCCCATCTTGGCCTGGTTATAGGAAGTCTGTCAGCTGAGCAAGAGATGTGACCTTATATAGTCCCCTCTAGCTTTAAAGCAGTTGTGTTACTGGAGCAGAATAGGATGTACACGTGATATTTGGGGTACCTAACATAACGCAAAGGAGCCCTGGTGGCACAGGGGTTAAGCGCTTGGCTGCTAAACTAGCGGCAGAAATATGTGGCTGTATGCTTCCATAAAGATTACAGCCTTGGAAACTTTATGGGACAGTTCTACTCTGTCCTGTAGAGTTGCTGTGAGTAGGAATCGACACAGTGGCAATGGATTTAACGTAACAGAGAGGTGAGTGGAAATTTTGGAGGGGAGGTCACCTGACGGGCTGTGAGGTAGATTCAGTGACCTGTCTGGGAGAGGTTATTGGGCTCTGCTGACCAGGCCTTCTCCTTACAGGAGGTGCAGCCATGAAAGCCGGTGTGAAAGAGGGTGACCGGATCATCAAAGTGAGTGAACCTCCTGTCCCCACTCCCCACCCCTGGGCAAGGAGGCAGGACATGCAGGGTCACATCTGGCCTTGGCCCATCCCGCAACTTCCAGCTGCCCATCAGCCACTGAGTTAGGGACTGGTACCATGAGGGTGAGCATAGTACTGTAGTATGAGAGAGAGGAGGCGTTAAGATAGTTGGGTTCCATGTTCTAGGCTCTTCTTGATTCCAAAGTAACCAAGCTTCTTAGAACAGGTTTTATTATCCCCGTTTCACAAATGACAAAAATAGGATTGAGAGGAAGGGGATGTGACTAATGAAACCTTCGGTTCTCAGGTTGATATTGTATTCTCCGTACAATGCAGACCTGAGGTTCTTGCCAGTTCTAAGACACCATCATCTTCCCTGTTTGTTTAGTGCTTTCTTCTGCAGAGTGCTAGAAATGTTAAATCCTAGATGAGGAGAATCCTTGGTCCTCTTGTGAGGAGGAAACAGTGTGTGTCAGTTGACATACAAATGTGTATAAGGCTATTGGTTGGAAAAGTCTATGCCAAAAATAAATGAATGAATGAACAAATGAAAACACAGTTTTTACCCCCTGGGAACTTACAACCTAGCTGGGGAGACAGAACACATAGCAGATGTGAACAGTTTTGAACTTGTAGAAGGATCCCCTAGGTTTCCACCACCCCTATTCATAGCCTTTGTCCCCCTACAGGTGAACGGCACCATGGTGACCAATAGCTCACACCTGGAGGTGGTGAAGCTTATCAAATGTGAGTTGAAGACAACTAAAGAAAGTCGGGGAGCAGATGGGCCGAGAGGAAGGGAGGGAGGAAAGAGGAGGCCTGTTGACCGGGAAGCTTCCTTTGTAGCTGTGTGAAGCAGCCGAGGTCACATCTTTAATCTTGACATGAAGTAATCTACTTAGGCTGCCCTAGTTGCCTATTACTGTTTCAAGTGGAGACACTGTACATCTCTCATCTGACGTCTTTACCCATGCCCATCTTGCCACTGCTATTTAGACCGTATCCTACTGAGACCAGGTCTCACTCAAATGCAGTTTGCTCCCCTCTCATATTCACAAACATTCTTCCCCACTTATTCCCGATTTTGGAGAAAAAGTAAAAATGTTCTTTGTTTGCAAGGCTGGAAGGCCCAACAATTGAGTCTATGTAGGGAATCAAATAGCAGCAGGAAGCATTAGGAAAGAATTAATCCTTTAATGGTTACTAGTAGGTAAACCTCCCGCTCGTATTTCCCACACTCCCTGGGCCATAGTGCTGATATGTACTGCGTGTGTGATGTGCTTCATGGAACATGGTACCGGTATGGCCCGCTCTGAGTCAACTGATAACAATTTTATGTGCAGCAAGTGCAGTGTTCAGTATTTCTTGTGTATTTTTGGAAAGTCCAGTAAGATAGTTTATGGCTGAAGTGTAACCAGGAAGTGTGATGCACTTTCTGGGCCATGGTACCCAGAGATACCACATTTGCAGTGTACTTCGTGGGACATGGTACCGATATGGCCCGCTTGCAGTTGGCACCCCATTTTTCCAGTAGTGAAAAACTTCCAGTAAACAGTGACTCAGCATCCATTCCATTAGTGAAAAATCATGGCATCACCAAAAAAATTAAAAAAATAAATAATTTGCTCATGAAAGGGTTAAAGGATGTGACAGTTTGGGGAGGGTGGAGGCTAGAATTTGAGTGCCTGCTATGTGGCAGGCAGGCAGTGTGGTAGGGGCTTTACATTGCGAATTCATTTAATGAGATAAAAGGAGGGAACAAGGGGGTCCACGGGGAGTGTTCCCTAATATTTATGGATGGAATTTTGGTTGAGATCTCTGCATGAAGAAAGGGAAGGAAGCAAGAGTTAGAGAATGGATGGGGCATTAGAGGTGAGAACGTAATCTGTAGAACTATAACGAAAGGAGAAGGGAAAGAAGCCCATCCTTGGTAACTTGAATGTCTACTCTAGGACATTGCCCCTTAAGCAAGCTCTCTTTATGTTTTCCTCCAGCTGGTGCCTATGTTGCACTGACTCTCCTGGGCTCTTCACCCTCGGCCTTTGGTGTCTCTGGGCTCCAGCAGGACCCAGCCCCAGCAGGAGCTCCCCGAGTCACCCCTATGATCCCACCACCACCACCTCCACCACCTCTACCACCTCCACAGCACATCACAGGACCCAAACCTCTGCAGGTAATGGCCCTCCTGGCTCCCCCTCCTCACTCTCTTGTTCATTGGAGAGGAAAGCAGGTTAAATTGAATGAGATTTTGGTAAGCAGAGATAAGCCAGAGAGATCTATGAAAGACCATCAAAAAGTTGAACGAAAATAAGGACTGTGTTCAAGGGGTTGTTGCATGCCTTCGTGTCCTCCTTCTGTGTAAACACGTTTGCAGTTTTAACAGTTAGCAGCATGCAGCGTGCTTCCTCCGTGTGTGAAAGACTGTAAGGAGCCCTTCGGGAGTGTGCCTCCTTACAGGGGAGAGAGTGCACACCTCCAGACATGGACGGAAAGCATCTGTTAAAGACTGTGGCCAGTCAGCGTCACGAGGGTGAAAAACTTACTAGGGAAAAGACACTGCTTGGAGGAGAGATACATGGAGCCATTTGGATAGAAGGAGAGAGAAAAGGCTAAAAACGAGTAGGGAGAGAATCCTAGGACTAAGGGAAAGCCCGTGTAAAGAGTTAAAAGAGGACAAGGTGCAGATAGGTGTAGGGAGCAGGATCTTCCAGTTGGAAAGGATACCAGCCAGCAAGTATTGGGAGACAAAGAGGTTAGACTTTGGAGAGCAGTTTGATACCAAAGGTGATTACAGCCAAGGTTTCTAGGACGTTCAGGAGTAAAATCAAAATGAGATATTTTATCTACTGAACTCCAGTGAGGTGCCGAGGGTAAGTGACACATGCTTATCACCCAGGTTTTACTCTCATAGCTTTCCTAGCCCAAGAATCAGCAGGTAGAAGAGAGGCTATTGAGTTTGTCCCCCAACTCTCACTACTGTCATATTTTCCATTCCTAGGATCCCGAAGTTCAGAAACATGCCACCCAGATCCTTAGGAATATGCTGAGGCAGGAGGAGAAAGAGTTACAGGTAAGGTCACTGCTGAGGGTAGACTGGCTGTTGCCTTATGAAATAATACTTTATTAGAGCAGTCTGCCAGTCTCTACAACTCAACCCTAACCCTGTCACAGTAAGAACTTAACAAAATAGAATTCCAGGACCACTAAAGAATTGTCGTAGGCCAATAGAATCTGTTAAAGCAGAATATGACCAACAGAGCTAATAGGGTAGTAGAACTCGTGGGTAATAGAGTAGGACAGTGAACACGTGGACAAAATGCAAACAAGTGCTGAGAGACAGGTAGACTAAAGAGGGACCATTAGAACTAGGAACGTCAAGGTCAGTTGGAATTAATCTTGGAGGTTTCCGAGGAAGAGAAGAGTAAGAGGGAAGGGATAGAAGGGTAGGTGAATGCTGAGGCAGACTGATAGAGGTGGGGGCACTGTTGGTGGCGGGGATGAAGAGAGATTTCCAGGCATAGGGATGGTGTGCACAGGGAACAGTAAGCTGATTAATTTGGCTGGAGGGGAATAACCAGATTCCTATTATAGTTATGGTTTGTGGCTATCTCCTCACCCCTTCATTTCAATTCAGCAAATTCTATAAGTGTGTGTAATGTACATACTGTGTATGCACTGTATGTCAAGCCTTGTTTTAGTTCCTATGGTGTACAGAGATGAAATAGACGATTCGTGCCCTCAGTAAGTTTAAAATCTAATGGGAAAAAATTCAGGTTACTATAGGAAGGAGAGTGGAGCTTGCAATACGAAAACAAAGAAGAGAACATTTAATTAATAGTGGGAAATATGGGAAAGGCTTCACAGAAAGGGTACTATTTCAGCTGGGCCTTGAAGAGTGGGACTTCAGTAGGCAAAAGGGACAAGGAAAGGAGTGCTAGTAAATGGGAACATACATCAAAGGCACAGAGATGTGAAAATACATTCATTTATTTGGCAACCATTGAGTTCCTGCTGCGTGTTAGGTACTGTGCCAAGCGTGTGTAGGGGGGTGCGTGGGGTGTTAGGGGCAAGAGTGAAGTGGTTATGACAATAAATGAGAGATGAACCTTTCCTTTAAGGCGTTCGTAATCCAGTAGTACAGGGATGGATGGATGAAGATAAGTTAAAATACATTATAATAAATGTTGATACTTGTATGTTGACAAAATGTCAGTGTAATCAAAACAGTGTGGTACTGGCATAAGGATAGAGTTATAGATCAGTGGAATCGAATTGAGAGTCCAGAAATTAACCTTCACATCTACAGTCAGTTGATTTTCGACAAAGGTGCCAAGACAATCCAGTGGACAAAGATTAGTCTCTTCAACAAATGGTTCTGAGACAACTGGATAGCCACGTACAAAAGAATGAATTTGGACCCTTACCTCACACAGTATACAAAATTAACTCATACCTATCACAGTAAAAGACGGGTTAAGGTGGACTAAAGTCTTAAACATAAGAGCCGAAACTATAAAATGTATAGCTTATAAGAACTAGAAACATAGCTTAGAAGAAAACGTAGGTGTAAATCTTTACGACCTTGGACTAGGCAGCGGTTTCTTAGATATGTCACCAAAAGCACAACCAACCAAAAGAAAAAGATACATTGGACTTTTTAAAATTAAAACTTTTGTGCGTCAAAGGACACTATTAAGAAAGTAAAAAGACAACTCACAGAATGGGAAGAAATACTTGTAAGTTATGTATCTGATAAGGATCTAGGACTAGAACATACAAAGGATTCTTCCAACTCAACAACAAAAAGACAAATAACCCAATTAAAAAATGGGCAAAGGATTTGGATAGATAGCTCACTAAAGAAGACATACAATGGTCAATAAGCACGAGAAGATGTTCAGTATCATTAGTTATTGGGGAAGTGCACATCAAAACCCCAATGAAGGCGGCGGCGGCATGGCAGAGCCAAGGAGGGCCGAGACGAGGCCCCCAGTTTGGGTCACTGTGAAGACCCCCAAGGGCAAGGAGGAAATTGTGATCTGCAATCAAGCCTCGGTCAAGGAGTTCAAAGAGGAAATCTCCCGGAGGTTTAAGGTCCAGTGGGACCAGCTCGTCTTGATCTTTGCTGGCAGGATCCTTAAGGATGGGGACACACTGAAGGAGCATGGGATCAAGGATGGACTCACTGTCCACCTGGTCATCAGGACCCCTCAGAAGGCTCAAGATCCGGCTGCTGCCACTGCTTCCTCCCCCTCCACTATAGACCCTGCCTCTGCACCCTCCACCATGCCTGCTTCACCTGCCAACCCTGCCCAGCCCTCCACCTCTGGCAGCGCCACTTCAGATGCTGGCAGTGGAAGCCAGAGGAGCAGTGGTGGTGGGGATCCCTCTCCAGCCCTTGGGGGGACCCCCCAGTGCAACTGCATCCATACTCTCTGGCTTTGGGGGCATCCTGGGGCTGGGCAGCCTAGGCCTGGGCTCCGCCAACTTCATGGAGCTGCAGCAGAAGATGCAGAGGCAGCTGATGTCCAACCCTGAGATTCTGTCGCAGCTCATGGAGAACCCCCTGGTCCAGGACATGATGTCTAACCCCGACCTGATGCACCACATGATCATGGCCAACCCCCAGATGCAGCAGCTGATGGAGCGGAACCCCGAGATCAGCCACATGCTCAACAACCCTGAGCTCACGAGGCAGACCAAGGAGCTTGCTCGGAATCCAGCCATGATGCAGAAGATGATACAGAACCAGGACCAGGCCCTGAGCAACCTTGAGAGCATCCCTGGAGGGTATAATGCCCTCCTCCGCAGGTACACAGACATCCAGGAGCCCATGTTCAGTGCTGCCCGAGAGCAGTGTGGCAACAACCCCTTCTCTTCCTTGGCTGGGAACTCCGACAGCTCATCCTCGTAGCCTCTGTGGACTGAGAACTGAGAGCCCCTCCCTAACCCCTGGAGGCCCTTGTCCCCCACCTCCCAGGCCTCCGGGTCTGGTGGGGAGGGCACTGGAGGATTGGGGACCAGCCAGGTGTACCTGACAGTCTCGAACCCCTTTGGGATCAGTGCAGCTAGCCTGGGGTCAGGGGAGTTCAACAGCCCAAAAATGCAGGCCCTTCTGCAGCAGATCTCCGAGAACCCCCAGGTGATGCAGAACATGCTCTCAGCCCCCTGCATGTGCAGCATGATGCAGACACTTGCCCAGAACCCTGACTTCACTGTTCAGATGATGGCAAACATGCCGCTCTTTGCGGGGAACCCCCAGCTGCAGGAGCAGCTCCGCCTGCAGCTCCCAGTCTTCCTGCAGCACGTGTAGAACCCGGAGTCATTCTCCATCCTGACCAACCCCCGCGCCATGCAGGCCCTGCTGCAGATCCAGCAGGGGCTGCAGACCTTGCAGACCAAGGCCCCCGGGCTGGTACCCAGCCTTGGCTCCTTTGGGATGGCCCAGACCCCAGCACCACCGGCAGGCAGCAGTGACGACTCTGTGCCCGAGGCCCCCAACTCCTCGCCGGCCACGCCAGCCACGTCTTCTCTAGCAGGGGCTTCCAGTGCCCAGCAGCAGCTCATGCAGCAGATGATCCAGCTTTTGGCGGGAAGTGGAAACTCACAGGTGCAGACACTGGAAGTGAGACTTCAGGAGCAGCTCAACAACATGGGCTTCATCAATCGCGAGGCCAACCTGCAGGCCCTGATTGCCACCAGAGGGGACATCAACGCAGCCATCGAGAGACTCCTGGGCTCTCAGCTCTCCTAATCCCTCAGCCCATGCCTCCTGCCTCTCCCTTCCCTCGATGCCAGTGTTTGGTTCTCTGAAAACCCCCGCCCTCTGGAGCTTGTCATCCCTTCTGTTTTCTCCCTTGTCCTCTCCGGACAGCAGAGCGACTTAGAGGCATGGGCCCCAGCCCCATAGCTCTATCCAAGAATTTGGCTTTTACTTCTGCATCTCTTCTTGAAGCTTCTCTCCTGATCCTCCTCAAGCACAGCTATTTAAACACTCAGTGTTATTTGATCAGCCCCACCTCCTTGCCGCACAGCAGCCACCTTTTGCCATCTGCAAACTTCTCGGTGGCAGTGTAGAATCAAAAGAGGAACCAGCTATCTGGTTTACTGGAACAGGGTCTTCCATCTGTACCACTAGGGTATTGCTTATCTTATGTTTACTTTTGGTAAC